TGGAATTCATAATGTCTTTTATTAATATATTATGCTACAAAAATATTTTTGGCAAAATAACATTAATAGCATCTTTCTTTGTCTTCTATTATATTCTTAAAGAACTCTTCATGATAATTCACAAGGTGAGGGGAAGAGGTGGTTAGAAGAACAACATCATGAATACCTTTCAAATACATTAAGATCTGAAGCTCGTGTCGCACAGTGAGAGTCGGGTGGGACCTTCTGCCATCTCTTCGAAGCCCAGGAACGCTTGCCATTCTGGCTGTCCCCGCTCCTGGCTAGAACCTCCCTTGGCCAAGAGTCAGCCCCTGCTGCCCAGCCACTCAGGGCCCAAGATGTTTGAGAGCCCCGCCGGAAACGTCTTAGACTTGGGTCCCATTCAAAGCCCACTTTCCCTGCAGCGGGACTGGGGATGGAGGGGCCCTTCAAGGTGAGCTACTCTCTAACCTTTCCTGCCTGCCACATGCTCCTGATCTGTGGGTCCTGGAGGGAGAGCTGAACACTGAGCCTTGGAGGGGTGGCAGCTCACCTTCACGGAGCCCTGAGATGGCACACGGCATCCCTCATGCCCCCAGAACAGCCCAGGCAGGAAACAAGGTCTCCATTGGACAGAGGAGGAAATGGAGGCTCAGAGAGGGGCGGGCCTTGCCCAAGGTCATCCAGCAAAGTGAAGGAGCATCCAGAGAATCTCCAGAGAGGAAGAGCCCCTGTCTGGAGAAAGGACGGGCAGAGCCGAGGGTGAGCTGATGCTCCTGGGAAAGGGCCAGGTAGGGCTCAGTCGGTTTTCATGCTCCCTGTCTTCCTGCTCCCGGGGTCAGGGGGCAGGGAGGGAAGGAGCTCCGGGCTGGGGCCAGGGGCCGGGGTTCCAGTCCAGCCCTCCCCCACCACCCAGAAGCCCCACTGCCCCAGGGCAGCAGGCAGACCTGCCAATACACATCAGGCCTGGCGGGGCTGTTGGGCTGTGAGGCTGGACCGATGCCTGAGCCTCACTGGTTTAGACAGCCAGCCCCAGTGATGTTTTTGGCTGCTTAGATGAATTTTTGGAAAAATAACAATGTTCAAAGAGCCTGAGCATTACAGAGCCAGGAGGGACCCTCGATGTCACCTACCCCAGGCCCTTGCCAAGACTTCAACTCTCCTACCACACCTGCAGCCAGGGGGCCTGTTGCACCTGCCCACACACCTTTCCTGACAGGAAGCTCACCACTGCACGGGTACCTGTCCACCCTCAGACAGCGTTGGCTTTGTGATTTTCCACAAGCAGAGCTAAGATCTGCCTCTCTCCTTTCCTTCCTTCCTTCCTCCTTCCCTCTCCACACATCTATTGAGTGCCGTCTTTGCATCAGACGAGGACACAAAGATGAACGTACATGACTCCTGCCATCGAGGAAGCTCACAGTCTGACAGGAGACCAGAGACATGATTAGACAGTCTCAACACTGATGAGTGGGTGTTGTGACAGGTGCTAAGAGAGTACAAGGGAATCGCAGGGGGCTTCCTGGAGGAGATGCTATCTGAGTGGATCCTCAAAGGATGAGCAGTTACGGGTAAGAGAAGGGAGTTTCCAGGCCTAGGGAGCGGCCTGTGTGAAACATCCTGTCTACTCTAGAAACGACAAATGCGAGCCAGTCTGGCCAGGCACAGAGTGGGAGAGATGGGAGACATAGCTGGCAGGTCAGCAGTGCCAGATCACGGAGGGTCCGGAAGACCAGGCTGAGGACTTTGGTTCCTATCCCATGGTCACTGAAACACTATCACCAGCCCCCATTCTGTTCTCTGCCACATAGGAGACCATCAACGCTGCAATTCCCAGGGGGAACTTCTCATGCCCTTCATGGGGTTTTTATAAACTTTCCTTTCCTGGGATCCGTTGTGACAGTGGCACCAGGCTGGAGGCTGGGACGGTGGGACAAGCGTCCTGAGCCCCTAGGCTTGCCCAAGCCTAGCTGAGGCCAGGAAGTAGACGACAGAACATTCAGCACAAGAAAAATCTGCTCAGTCTTGCAGTGCAAAGGCAAATTTGCCAGTCAGTAAAAGTTTCCGTGCTCTGTACACTCCAGATCTTTGAATCTCAAAGCTGGAGAGGCCCTCTGCATCTCCCTGCAGCCTGACTCAAACACCTCCGCTGTCCCTGCCTTCAACTGGCTGCTGGTGCATCAGACCAGTCTGGAAGAAGACTGGAAGACAGGGCCATACTGACTAGCCCCAGAAGGCCCCTTGGTCATTCAGTCAGCTTTCCTGAGAGACAAGGACCTAGGGCCACCACTAACACACTGCCTAACCTCAGGCAGGTCACCTCACCTGCTGGGTCTCAGTCCTTCCATCTTCCTTGCCTGTCTCAAGGTCACACATGAAAGCCCTGTGAGATGTACACAATGCTCTCAGAGAACAGGGGCATTTTACTAGGCTAGGCACATAGAATGTGCTGGAAAAAATGTCAGCAGTAGGGGATAGATCATTCCAAGTGCATGAGTGGCTGCTGATGGAATGGTGTTTCCCTGGCCCAGGATGAGAGAATTCAAGGGCCCCAGCCATACAGATTCCTTTATATGTGCTTCAGGACTTCTGGGACATAAGTCAGCAAGTTCAGTTCATTTCAAACCCCGGCCAGAGGGTGGTCCTCAGGGATCAGCAAACTTAGGCTGCAGACATCTGACCCACACTGGCTCTGGCTGTCCCCTCGGCACATGTCTACCTAATAAGTCAGTCCATCCGCCTGTTGCCCATCCATCTTTCTTTAAACACTCGGGTGCTGGGTTGAGGGAGAGTTTGAATTCCCCCATCTGCCCAGAGGAGGGATCTGGGGAAGACTAGGGCTGAACCTGCCTGCGGTCGGGGGCCTGGACAGGATAACCTCTGAAGTTCCCTCTAGGAGCCTAGGATTGGGCCACTTGTTCCATCTTGATGCTGAGCTCCTCGAGGCTCGGAAAGGTGGCTAGACTTGGCCCCGACACAGAGCCTGGCACTGCGTGTGCTGGATAATCACACCCTGAGTTAATCTACCTCTTTGGCCCCGTGCCTGGCACAGCTCTGGGCACGCGGTCAGGTGCCTGGGCTGTTTACCCAAACGCTTCATCTTTAATTAACCTCAAGCTCTGTCTCAATACCTCTCATGCCACACTCTGCCCCGAACAGAGGGGAACCTGGCCTGTGTGTTTCTAATTCCTGCACACTTATCTCATCCCAACAGCACTTTGCACGATCTGTTTGATGTGCAATAGGCCTTCTGAGCCTCTTTCTAGTCAGCTAAGCCCCTTCCTGCTCAGAACCAGGAAGTCACGTTTCTGCCAAGGATATAAGGACTCCAGCCCTGGCTGGGGTCAAGTTCAGTTTACAGCATGGTGCCCATGGGGCTGGCTGGACTCTCACAGGGCTCCTGCCAGGTCTCAGGCTCAAACACATCCATCGTGGCTGAGCTGAAAAGAATTCAACTGCCCGCCAAGATGCCCATGGGACCTCTGACCATTCAACGAGCTGCCCAGAATTCTCCCATCTCAGAAGGGAGACAGCTGCCACACTGGGCATGATGGCACTGAGGCTGATCAGCTACAATCAGCCCTGCCAGGGAAACCCACGGTGCAGCGATGCTGAGAGCACTGGGCTGGAAGTCAGCAGACCTGCCCGCCGTGCAGCCTTGGGGAAGTGCCTCCCCACTTGACTTTATTCTTTCTCTTACTGTCATTATTTGTCAAGTAAGGGGTTCTTTCTGCTCTTGGGTCCCAGGACCCTGTAAATGATGAGCTGCTAACCCTCTGAGGGTTTGGGGCTGGAAGGCAGCCAACCTGGGTCCTCTGCCTTCTCGGCCGCCACCTCGGGGGCAGAGGAACTAGGTCGGTCTCTCTGAGGCCTGCTTGCCTCCATTTGGCTGCTCTGCCTCCCCCGGCCCCTGGCCCACAGCCTCTGATTTGGCAGGAAGGCCTCTCACCGGCTCTAAGATAAGACACGTCGGGGCATGAGACACGTGGCACACGCTGTTGCCAGAGCCCTTTGGCCAGAGGGACCGACATGAGTAAGTGTGGCCAAACAGGCTCTCTGGCTAGAGTAGGGAGCATGCTGGCCCATTTGGGTGAGACCTGCCCCTCTGGGAGCCTCCCTGTATGGGGAGAACACAGCAGAATACGGTCCAGGAGACAAGTACCGCTTCTGAATCACATGTTTCTGGGGCTATGTCCCAGCTGGGTGACCTTGAGCAAGTCCCTTCATGCCTTATTGAGGCTCAGTTTCCTCATCTGTGAAATAGGATACACATCTCACAGAATGGGCGTGAGGATCAGTGACAAAGTAAATGTGCAAAGTGCCTGCCACGCAGCACGTCCTGGACAAATGGCAGCTCTCAGACGGCTATTATTCCCACATGACTCCTAGAGCCCCTCCCTGGCCCTAATACTGCCCTCTTGTGCCCCCTCCTGTCCTTCGGCCCAGCTCATTCTGTTTGGCCGTGACTTCAACAGCCTCTCCTGTAAGGCGAGCTGGATTAACGATACCAGAACAGAGAGGCTCACATCCTTGATCTCCCACTTGCTGTGTGACCTTGGGCAACCATCTCCCTCTCTTTGCATCTCACTCTGTCTGTCACATGGGCTGGGGACCACCTCCCTCAGCACCCAATCCTTCTCCCCACTCCAGGGCTTTGGTCAAAACACTTACCAAGAGTTCTGGAGGGCCAGTTCACAGACACTCAGGGTTTTCAAAATAGCAGCATTCTCTTTCCTAAGCTATCTTCCCAGCCCTAGGAAGCACCCAGGGGAGGGAAGGATGGGCAGCATTCACATCTCTGGCTCCCAAATCCAGCTTCACAAAAGCTAAGGCTGTCTGCCTCCCCGTCCCTCTGAGGCCCCCATGGGGGGAGAAGCTAAACCTGGATACGGGATGCTGCCGCTGATCCTGGAGTAAGCCAGTTCAAAGCCACGGTCCGCCTGAGGTTGCAGAGGTCCTGGCAACCTGGGTTGGCATTGGGGCTAATTAAGGGGTTATTAACATAGGCCACATAAAAATAGTTTTATCAGTAGAATAAATACATTTTTCTTTTTTAATATGGACACAAATTTTACAAAAGAGCCCCATAGCACTATGGGAAATTAAGATCCTTCTACAAAAAAGAAGATGTAACTCAGGTATAATAAAGCTCTAGTTTTCTAACGGATCCCGTCTGGACTGCCCGAGAGGTGTCAGGCACCCCCGGAGGTGGTGGCAGGGGCAGTGGGGTGCGGCTGCAGACCCTCTGATGGTTTCTCTGGCTTCTCCGCCCGGGGTGGCCGAGGTCAGGAGGGCCCGAGGCTGTGCAGCAGGAGGGGCGCCGCGATGCTGGCAGCCATGGCCGGGAGTAGGCCCAGGGTGGGCCGTAAGCGGCAGGGCGCAGAGGCGCTGGCGAGCCCCGGCTCTTCCTGCTGCTGGAGCTGGTCGGAGAGCTGCAAGAGGGGCTTGGCGGTCCCAGGGCTGGGCGTGGGCTGCAGGGGCAGCGGGGGCGGCGAGGCCGTGGTGCTGGAGGGAGAAAACACAGGAGACCGGGGTGACCACTCAGTTGCCTCGTCCTGGGCTGTGGCCTGAGGGTTCAGATCCGACTTTATCTGGTCTATTTTTTTCTCTTAAGATGGAGAAGGAAACAAGGGGCTCAGACAGGGAAAGTGAGCAGCCCAGGGCCACACAACCGGCTGGGCTCCTGAGGGCACACTTACCCTCCTGCCCCAGGCTCCAGGAGGCAGGCCTCAAGTGTGACCACTCAGGATGGGTCCCAGGCAGAAAGAATGAACGTGTTACGGAGGAGACGGATCTGAGGCAACCGGCCTCCACAGCAGGCACATAGGTGCCCAGGCCTCCCGCTGCCCTCCCCTCCCCAGTCTGAAATAAACAGAAGTCGACACACACAGGCAACCCCACCCTCTCACGGGCCTCGTTATCACGACTGCTGTCTATTGAGAGCATTGCTGGTGCTCAAAACAAACCTTCACAACAGGTCTCATCATCCGCCTTTGCCAGATGAGAAAACAGAGACTCAGAGAGGCCAAATGGCGGCCAGGTCACAGAGGAAGTGGGGGCCGCTCCTCCACGGGGCGGGAGCCCTGGGGTCGGCCTCACTCTGATAAGCAAAGGGGGTTTTAGTGAAAAGTGTGGTCCTTCAGGAACTTATGAAAATAGCATCCAGTTTTGGAGGTAACCGGTAAGGTTCTTGGCTCAAGAAAGCTTATGTGAAAGAGGGAAGGAGAGAGAGACAGAGAGACAGAGAGAAATAAAAAGAGATTAAGGTCAGAACGCTTCGGCAGGCTGAGGCCGGCACTCGGGGGCATCGGGAGGTGCAGGGGAGGCGGGGGCCAGGTAGGGCGCTGGACCAGGTTACCGGCTCAAGTCCTGGAAAAAGAGGTAGGAATGATGAACAAAGAGAGGGACAGAGGGCAAGACAGGGATTGGGGGAGAAAGGGGACAAGGACAGAGGCATATCAAGAGAGGCCATGGGCTTGGGTGGGGTTGACGGGGATAGCAGGCTCTGGGGTGAAGGAAAGGGTGGGGGACCCAGAAGCGATGAGCCCATGTTTACCCTGTGGAGCCGCGGGTGGCGGGAGGCAGACGGAGGCGGTGGATCCAACAAGCCCCACCACACCAGAGGGGCAAGGAGGGGAGGGGAGCCCTGGGGCAGGGGACACACAGAGGGGCCTCGATCCAGCGCGGGGCCAGGAGGGCCTCATGGAACAGACGACACCGCAGTCGGCCGTGAGGGCAGCAAGTCTAGCTTGCACATGCTAGGGGCGCCCTGGGGGACCAGAGAAGTAATTACAGAGCTGGCCCTGTGCCAGCTCTGTGCGAGGCCCTTACCATATATTAACTCTAATCCTCGTGACAACACTAGGAGGCAAGTACGTCTATTATCCCCATTTTATTTATGAAGAAACCGAGGCACAGAGAGGTTAAGTAACTTGCTCCAGGACCCACGGCAGGGCCAGAATCTGAAGCGTGCACACAGTAGGTGCTCACTAGCAGTTGAAGCTTGGCCCTCCCTGGGCGTCTGCAGTGCGGGCGACCTCCTCCATGCGGGACACTGCCCCAACTTCCAGCACTTACCAGCCCTCCCCGACAGGCTGCTCACTCTCGGGTCATCTGGGGGTCCCCTGCCCCACCCTGGCTTGAGTGTCCATATGCTGGGCACGAAGTTCCAACAACTGGCCATTGCACTGTGGTGAGCTCTGTAATTATCACCTCCGCAGCCCAGCCCCACTGCCCTGCCGACCTGATGCCTCTCATGCAGCCTGGCTTAGCCTCAGCCTGGGCGGGTGGGTAGGGGAGTCCCAGGGTCACCAACACACCCCTGCCTCCACATGGGCTGGGACCTCTGCTCGGGCAGTGTGTGTCCAGACACTCTCCAAAGAGGAAGGGTCCTCACTCCCTGCCCTGTCCCTCCCTCCTCCTGGTCATGCTCCAGCCACAAGACCCCACTACGTCCTCGAGTGAGGTTCTCCTCCACCTGGAGTGGACAGCTGTGATGCACTGTGCTCCTCTGTCTTAGAAACTCCCAGAGATGCTGCCAGGAGAGGAGGGAGCAAATGCTTGTCACACACACGGACAGACGGAAGATGTTCCTGAACAGAGAGTGTGCATGTGGAACTGGAGGGGAGGGGGCTGACCAGGTGACTTCAAATGCCCCTTAGAACCCACAAAATCTGGCACGTTGTGCCTCTCACCCGTGCCAGCCTTCAGAGCCCCCAAGACCTCTCACACAACCCGGTGCTGGCGGACCTCACCTTTCCTGGCTCTCCCAGCACACACCACCCTCTCGCATCTAATGCCCTGCTGTCATTTTCCAGTTCACCTTTGAAGGCCTGACTCAATGACCCCTGGAGGCCCTTACATCTGTCCTCCATCCCCTAGTACCACCTGGGAGAGTTAAGGCTCCCACAGAACCTTATGCATTTCTCACTGTCACACCGTGTCACAGGCCCATGTTTATGTGGATGAGGTCTGAATGGGTTTCTGTACATAAAGTGCTTAGAACAGTGCCTGGCACTGGAAGTGCTATATGGTGTTGGCTACTGTTAGCACCGTTATTAAGATGTTTGTGTCTGTGTCTCTCTACTAATAACATCCTCCACTTATGGAGCACTTCCCATGTGCTGGCAGACTCTGTGCTTGATGCTACATGTGTCATCTTATTATTCCCATTTCCAAGATGAGGAAACTGAGCCTGAAGATTAGGACATAGCATGCATCGGGCAGTCTGGCTCCCCAGCCCGAGCCGGGCCTGCTGCCGTCCCCAACTGAGGGCCGAGCAAACGTGTGATGGGAGAACCCAGGAGCGAGGTGCCGGCTTCCTGCCGAGACTCGAGGATCCTGGAGGCTTACCAGGGTGGGAGGTGAGGCCTGATGCAGCCTCAGACCTTGGAGGGGCTCACGCCTGCGCCCAGAGGGGTCATTCCCTCAGCCCCTTCCTCTCTTTTTTTCCTAATGAAAAGAGAATCTTCCCACACAACACAAAATGTCCCTGAAACGTCCCTTCCTAGCCTCTGCCCCATCCTCTCAGCCTAAGCAGCGGGGAGCCTCGAGGGCTGGCCTCGGGAGAGGAGGCTGCGCCATTCGGGGTGCCTGGAGTGGGGCCCTGGCTGCCCATCAGAAGGAGGACCAAGTAGGAGTTATAAAATTATGTCTCAAAGGTGCCCAAAGGCATTTGCTTTCACACTTTGAAAACCAAGGATGCAAACTCCCCCTTGGAGCCTGAGGGGGCTTTTGTTGCTTGGAAGGAGCCCCAGGGAAATGGGCTGAGGCTGGGGTGGGGGACGAGAGGCACCTCCAAACGCCCCCGCCTCCCTGGCCCACTCTGCTCGCAAAACTGAGTCCCCCGTCCAGATCCCCCCCACACCCCAGGCCCATGCTGGGGAAAGCTGTCTCATGGCAAGGTGGCCTCGAAGCCAAACCAAACACTCTGAGTGTTCCCAGGCTCTGCAGATGGCTGGCACAAAGGGGCTGAGTCTGCTCCGAGCCCACAGGACCCCTCGCATGGGGAAGGGCCCCTCTGCCTGGGCGGAAGGCGAAGGCCCCATTCTAGCCTGCCCTATGTTCCTGTTCACTGCACGACTGCGGGCAAGTCCTGACCTCTAGGCCTCAGTTTCCCCATGTGTACAATGAAGGAGCAGGAGTAGATCCACGGACTTGAAAATGTTTTCTGGCAGCAGAAGCCAGAAGTGGGATCTTAGGCAGAAGCCCAAAGTATAAAAACACAGAAAAGTGGGGTTGGTGCCTGAGACGGGGTCTGCTGCCTGCTCCCCCCGCCCCCCCATAGGGCTTCCTGGAGCAGGGGGCCGATCTCGGCACTAGAGGGTCTCCAGGAGCCATCCAGAGCTAGGTTCTGGGAGTCTGGGGGCCATGGCTTTCGTGCCAAGACAGGGGCTGCAGGGCTGTGACCCGGGTGAGCTCCTTAGACGGTCCTGAGTAGACGAGGGGAGATGGAGCTTGGGCACGCAGGCCTGATGACAGTGGTCCTGCTGCCTGGGGGCGGAGCTCTCGATGTGGGCCAGCTGGAGGAGCTCTGGTGCGATTCTGGTCTGGGCCTCAGCCTTTCCGGGCCACACAGGTCAGACGCAGGCAGAGATCTACAGTGACGGGTTTGCCTGCTGCGCTACGTCCTGCTGCTAAGGCCCACGCCAGCCGCCATACCTTTGGCCACATGGTCGTCTCTGCTGGGAACGCCTTCACCTTCCCTCAGCCCTCACTGTCACGTCTGACCTTCAGGGCCCGGACCCTCCAGCCCTTGCTGACCGGACTCCTGCAGGCACAGGTAGACGGACTGTGGCTCCAGGGCCCTTTCAGCTGCACCATATTGGAGAGCTCTCCCCGCCTGGCCGCGACCCGAGACTCTTCCTGCTCTCATCCCTGCCAACACACGACACGGGGCTGGGTAACCGGCCCCGTGCTCCTGTGAAACGTGTGGCCCGCGTGCTCCTGTGAAACGGCAGGGAGTGTGCAGCACCCGTCTAGGTGCTCAGTTAAGGCTTTAAGCCTAAGACGCACTAAAGGCCCACGAGCAGCTGCTGCTGGGGAGGGGGGAAGGAGGCATCTTAGACCAGACACTGAGAGCCCGGCTACCAACTTTGGAGACAACTGTTCCTGAGTGTCATGTGGTCTGATGCCGGCTTACCACTTTACAAGCATCATCTCGTTTACTCTCTAAGCCTGAAAGCAAGGAAGAGGAGGGGCTGGGATTTGAAGCAGGTTCTGCCTGAATTCATCTGTGCTTTTATTCACTGAGTGATTCTGCTTCCCATTTCTCATGGGGGCATCTTCCACCGCTAACCAGACAGGGCTCTGGCCTCATGCAGAGATGCTGATCACTCTGTACTGTCCCAGGCGGGCTGTGCCAGGAGAAACTGGAGCTAGAGAACCTCGGGGCAGGATGGGCAGGCCAGCAGGAGGTGAGGAGAGCCCTCCCAAGGGCCCGGGGGGCAGAACATTGTGTCTTTTCCCCTCCGAGGGGGATCTGGCCATCTGCTCAAACATCAGGGGAAACTGAGGCCCAGCAGGGCAATGACCCTCTGCACTTGTGTGTCCTGTAGCCCCTGACCCCACATGGTGGCACCCACAAGGCTCTGCATCCATCACGCACTGATGGCCACCTCTGTGTCTTGCTTCCGGCCATGCCCAGCACTTGGAAGGTGCTCTCTTCCCTGCACCTGCCCCTCAGGACTGTCCCTCCCTCCTGATGGCCTAGCGCTCTGCTCCACCCCCATCGCACACCCCCCCCCCCCCCCGCTGTGGACTGGGAGAACAACAGAGTTGGCATGACCTTCGGAGACCAGTCAAGGCCTAACAGCACAAAAGGAGAAACTGAGGGTTGTTGCAGGTCTCACACTGCATTGGGGGTGCCCTGCACACACCCAGTGTGGGAATGGCCCCTGCCTTGCTGCCTCCTCCTGGCTCTCAGATGTGGGGGTTCCCTGAGAGTGCTCTGCCAATGCTGCGCAGCCATCTGTGGACACACACTTGGCCCTCTCCACGGGTCCCCATAAATCATCCTGCCACGGGCTGCTGCTTCTCTAAACTTCCTCCGGCGTGTTTACATCTCGGGTAATGCGGGTGAGGGGAGGCCAGCCTGCTCTAGGCAGTGTCCTGGCCAGGCGCCTGCAGCACCCCCCAGCTCTCTCCCTCCTTCTCACACTCAATGCAGGCAGTCAACAAACCCTCAGAGAGGCCTCCGGTGACCCAGTGAAGTCCAACCCAGATCTGGTCCCCAGGGCCTCCCGGCCTAGAAACCCAAGTGAGGAATTGCAGTCTGTGTGACTGTGTTGGGACAGGGGTACACCTGGGAGCTGTGGGGGTGTGGGGGAGGGGAGCGCAGGGAAAGCGACAGGGAGGGAGGGAGACCTCAGCCAGGTGAGGTTGGAGGAGATGCTCGCCAGGCGAGGGCGAGAGGGAGGTTTGTATGTCATGGATGAGTGTGACCCTTAGCATTAGATAGACCTGGATGCTGGTTCTGACTCCACACCTGACTTGGTCTTGGGCAAGTTAGCTGACCTCGCTGAGCCTCAGTTTCCTTGTTTGTCAAGAAAGGCTTACTTCCAGGGACTATTGACAGGACTGGGGGACATGATGGATGTAAGCGCCTGGCACAGAGGAGAAGCCTGGCAAATGACCACTCACACCCAGTCCCAGCAAAGAGAGAAGCAAGGACAAAGGCGGGAGACGGGGAGGGCATGGACTGCTGAGGGACAGCCCACCCAGGCAAGGACAGGGCCGCAGCATCCCTCAGCAGGAGGGGCAGCGGAGCAGGCGGGAAGGGAGGCGAAAGCAGGTTTACCTGGTGGAGGCTGGGGGTGGAGGGTGCGATGTGCTAGGGCAAGATGTGGGGCCAGCAGACCTATTAGGACCCTGCTGCAGGATCACAGGTGGCAGATGAGCCAGGGAGAGGCGATGGAGAGGAGGGGATGGCTCCAGCGGGATTTAGGGGCAAGAAAACGAGAAAACTCTGAATGAAATGAAAGCTCCAAGGAAAGTGGTTGTGTTAGAATGGCTATAACTGGGCTCGAGGTTCCCCCAGGGAGCTTTCCTCTGCTCCCTCTTGGAGAACTGGAAGCTTGGGAACCCCAGGAGGATGGAGTGAGTGCTCTGGAGCGACGGAAGATGTGCCTTGAACCCAGTCCTCTCAGGGGCTCAGGGCCCGCTTCCCTAAGAAGCAGCGAGAAACGCAACAAACAGGCTGCCCGTCGGTGGAAAGATCCTTCTCCAACCCAATCAGATGGAGGAACGTTATCCAACCATAATTTACCTGTTGGGACCTAGAAGGGGCTCCCTCTTGCCAAAGAAAAGCTGTTTTCTTCTCCTGAAACCAGGCTCTGTGTTTCAGAGCTACGTGTTGTGAAAAGGAAGCCGTTTGGAGTCATTGGCTGAAATTTACCTTTCAGACGTGGTTAGGGGCTGGGGGCCAGTGGCTGGAGCTGACAGGAGCCCCCTGTCACCCCATGGGCTGGACCCACCACTGGCCAGGTCTCGTGGTCACCCCGGCAGGCTGATGGGGGCCCTGAGTGACCCTCCTGATAGGAGTTGTGTATGGGCTGCCAGCGCCTGCGTCAGCCCGGTGCCTCCCTAGCAGCCCGCGAGCCATCCCCAGGGCCGATGGAAGTGGCTCTCAGTAACTTTACGCCCTTGCTCCTGGTTTGAAGGGGGCGGCCCATGCTGGGCATGTGAGCCAAATGTGTCACAGCTAATATAGCTGCAGCAGTGGGCAGGCCGGGGCTCTGCAGAAGGACATTTCCTGGCAACCCTAGCCAGGTGCCTGGAAACCAATGCCCAAAGGAGCAGTGGCCTCGACTCTTATTTGCTGGAAGTCTTTTTAAAACAGTGCACGCCCCGCACTTTAAGACAGTGGACTGGACCACGCCAACCTTGTGTAGACGACTCAGAGACCCGGCCGCAGGAGGATCGTGAAGTAGACAGCGCAGGAGGTAGCCCCTGATTCCTTGTGTGCCTCTGGACAGGCCCCCCGCCCCCGGGCCTTGCTTGGTTCACCATCTGTAAATGCAGAGCTGGGTCTGAGTTCCCCAAAGGTGCTCAGAAGACTCTAGGGCACATGCAACCTGTGGCTTCCCAGGCCCCCACACCGCAGGTTCTGATCCATGACGTCTGCGGGCTGACTGGAATTTGTCTGTCTACAAGTACCCCAGGTGATTTCTGGGGATGCTGAGGAAACCCCAGGTGATGATCTTTAGGGTCCAGATGGAGACCGTGTCTCCGAGGACCCAATCCTGGGGCACAATGTCCAGGGCTGGCCTATGGCAGTGAGTGGGACTCTGACCTTCACTGAGGGTCACTCCCTGGGACGTCCCAGGTGCTCTGGTGACACTGCTCACCAAATATGGAGATTCTCACCCCAAAGCGGAATCTAGGGAGAGTGCTCTGTAGTGAGCTTGCAGGCGGAGGTTGGAAGACGGCATCCTGGTTACAGCAGGAGCTTGGTGACAGACAGGCTGAGGGGGTGGCATGAGGGGCTGGAGGGGCAGACAGGCAGAGGACAGAGAGACATCAGTACAGGCAGAAGATTTCTGCACCTGCCTGTTTTCAACGAGGTTTATCACCAAGTCCCCATCCCCTCCCGAGACAGAGCCCACAGCATTAGGGTGCCAGGTGTCATCTACCATCTCTTTCCTGCACAGCAGAGTCCCTTCTGCAGCCTCCCTGCCAGGGCGTCGGCCGCTCAGACCTTCCAGGCACAGGGCTCACTGCCTTTGATGGAGCAGCCTGCTCCACTGTCTTCTGGTTTCACCTCTGCACCCCAGGTGCATCCAGGAAAGCTAAGGCCAAAGCAGACTTTTGTCCACTGCCCCTTAAGGAAGCTTCTATTCCCTCACCTTTAAAATGGAGAAAATTGAACTTGCTTTCATTTTGAGATAAAAATGAAAAATCAGATGTGAGTGTCTCCCTAAACCTGAAAGACGAACAGGTGGATCCTTGTGAATGGGGACAAGCCAGCCCTGCAGTTTCCACTCAGGTACCCACCCGCCACGCTTCCTTAGAGCCGGGCTCGTGGATAACAGAGGTGGGCTGACCCGGCTCCTGCAGACCTGCCCCCCCAGCTCACCTGTCCTCGAGGCGGACCCAGAGGTCGTTGAACTGCCGCGGCCGCTGGTGTTTATTCTGCCTCTTGTGCCACTTCTTCTGCCGCCCGAACTCCTCCAGCTGGCTGAGGCTGTCAGGGAGCAGGAGATGCGGGGACAGCGCTGGGTCCTCCTCCTCGGGCGGGGCAGTGGGGGTCGCCGAGGGCGCTGTGGGGATGGCAGCGGCTGGGGTCACGGGGGCCGGGCTCGCAGAGGTCCCCTCGAGAGTGGGCACTGGGCTCTGGGCGGCAAGGCTGGAAAGGGTAACAGCACGTGAGGCACACGTGTTGGAGCGTGTCATGCATGTGCGACGGGGAGTGCAATTCAGTGGGAAGGTTGTCCGACAGGAGCAGATGCCAGGTGCCCCTGCTGGGCCTGGGGAGAGTAACCCAGGAAAACCACCGTCTGCTGTTGACAGATGGGGGTCTGACTCATTCTCATTGATTGGTTCAATGAATAGTTACTGAGCATCTACACTGCACGAGGCATTTTTCTGAGAATTGGGCAAAAGCAGTGACCGACACACAGTCCCTGCCCCCTGAGAGCTCACGTTCCGGAGCGGAAGATGTAGAGTAAGGCGTGCGGAATGTTGGATGGTGGTAACTGCTGAGGAGAAAATAAACCAGAGACAGGAGAGACAGCATGTGGGCGGTGGGCGGGGACATTAGAGCCCAGACTAGTAGGAGGTGAAGGAGTGAGCATGGGCAGGTCTCTGGGGCATGTCTGATCCTAGCCCGGGACTCATGCACTCAGCAAGCTCTGGCTGAAGGACTTGAGGAGAGTCACTGAACGTTGCTGTGCCTCAGTCTCCCGCTCTGTGAAATGGGGATATTCCAGCCCGTACCTCATGGGACATCACTAGGATGATGTAAGTTAACACAGGTATGGCACTTAGAACAATGCCTGGCACACAGTAAACAGCTGAGACACTTTAGTAATGAACATTAATAATTAAATATTAACATTGTTGCTTGTGTCATTCATCCAACCATCCATTCACACATTCCACACACATCTCCTGAGTGCCTTTTCCGGAGGGGGGACAGTGTAAGCAGGTTAGAGCCCTAGCTGGAGGGAGAGACGTGGGCTCACGTCCTGGCTCCGAGCCTCACAGGCCCTGTGACTGCGGGCAGGTGACACAATCGTCCCTGGCAGCAGTCAGCTGTGAAATGGGAGCAGCAGTACAGCTTATTCCACGAGGCTGTCACGAGGACGAAAGACAGGAGGCGTTAACACGGTGCCTGGCACACAGGAAGGCTCTCTGTGATGCCGGCCAACAAGCCAGCAGAGCTGGCTGTCGTGGGCGCGCACGTGGGATTGGGCGTGTGTGTGGCATTCACATTCCATACAGAGGTGCGCACAGACACCCCTCAGCCTGGGAGCATCCTCTGCTCCTCTCCCCTTTACTCTTTCTGTGGAACTCTTTTCGGGGACATCTGACCCTGCGAGAAGACTGGGCTCAGTTTAGGGAATTCTAAAGGTAAGGCAGCACTTGAGGCGGCGAGCAGCCTGGCCCCTATTCCCCACCCGCACGCTCCATGGGGGGAGAGCTTCTCCCTCCTCGAAGGAGAGAAGCCCATCTGCTCAGCCTGTCCACCCCCAGCCCACGGCAACCCCAGATTCCCAGGGTCCAGGAGATGCCGCAGCTGCAGGGGAGATAACTCAAAACAGGCAGACAAAAGACGGATCCAGGAAGCACCTGCGGCCGTGCTGCCTTTCATTGTTGGAGGCTCCTCGCATTCCCGCCCCTCACCCTACCCGCAGGATTTCAGCCTGGGCTCGAGACTCAGGCTGAGAGCACTCGGAGTGGGGCCTGGTGGGGGGAGAAGTGGGGGACCCTCTTCGAATGCCGGGCTCTGAGATGAAGAGGAGCCGAGGCAGCCTCGCAGGCCTGCTCTGGCCTGACAGACACAATGAGCTTCAAGGTGAGGGTCCTCGGGGCTGTGCCAGGGAGCTGGAGGAATGCCTTGTCCCCAAGGCTCCCTCGGGTCCCTCAACCCTCACACACATGCTGGGCTCGGCCCAGGACAAACTGTGCTGCGCTCAAATGGTCGCGAAGAACAGTCTCGTCAGGTTGACTCAGAAGACGAGAAGAGGACGGGCTCCAGCGTGAGGGGGTTCATGAGTTCCTCTAGACGTGCCAAGGAGACAGGGAGAGCCCTGGCCTGGAGCCTGGAGCCCGGAGCTCACTGCTCTGGTGACCGTAGAACTCAGGGCTGCTGAGTGAAGAGCAAGGCCTCAGTCCTTCCTGAGCACTCCTGCCCCTGAGCCCCATCGCTAACTCCAGACGTGGTACAGGGAGTGGGTAGGAGCGCAGGGAGGCCCTCGAGCCAGACTGCCATTTATACGAGCTTTGTGTCTTTCTGCAAGTGACTTCATCTCTCTGGGCCTCAGGGTCAACTTTAAGATGGAGATACTCATAGTTCCTACCTCACTGGGTCCTTGTGAGGATTCAGTGAGTTAAAAGTGCTCAGAGCCGAGTACACAGTGAGCAGCCAATGAACATTAGCCATGCTTATTCAAATTTCTTTTGGACTCGGGGTCCTGTAACGTCAGGGACAGCGGCCAAAATCACACTGTGGTCACCCTGTGAGGTGAGGAAGGTTCCTGCGTAAAGGCTGGAGCATGGGCCGCACGGCATCTGAGTGTGAGGACCCCGTCACTGACTCTGGAGCTGCCCACCGCGACGCCCCCTCCACACCCAGCCTGGTGCTGGCGCCGGGGACCACTGACGGGCCCAGCTGGCTCCTGCGCCTGGGCAGCTCCCAGCCTGGTGGGGGGCAGAAAACCCCACAGGAAGAGAGGATGGCCACTACGTGGCTCTCAGAGTGGAGCAGGTGCCCTAGCGGGACAGTCATGGTGGAGGGTACGGCCAAGAGGCAGTGATGGAGCAGGCGTGGTCAGAGGAAGGTCAGGACCAGGCAGGCCTGAGACTGGACACAGCAAAGAGGCCAGGCCACTGCTCATCCCAACCTTGGCGCCATCCCGATTCAGCGCCTGGGCCTCCCCAATTCCTCCAGGCAGCACCCTGGCAGTCCTGTAGAGTCCTTCCACCCACTCAGTCACCAGTCTCTAAATCCCGAACCTCTCAAAACCTAACGCTCCCTCATTCCCACTGCACTGCCCGGCCCTGCCACCCGCACCTCCAGCCAAGACTGTGTACCAGCCTCCTTCCAGCCTCCCCGTCTCCAGTCCAGCCCCTCTGCTCTTGGGTGCCTGGTTGAGGCTGATCTCTACAAAGCCCCATCTCCCCAGAAACTTCTTCAGCACTCTCCCCTGCAGGCGATGCAACACTTGGTCAGGCATGGCCGCAGATCGGCAGCAGCAGCCCACTCCCCATGCCCTGGCTGCTTACCTGTGGATGGTCTGCCCCGCGGGCGTGTGCTCCACTTCCAGCCCTGCTTGCCGGAGAACGTCGATGACGGTGTTGTTCCCCAGAAAGTGACCTGGAACACAAGAGACAAAGCTCCTGTGGCTCAGCCACATGCCAGGTCACCAGTAATTGGGCATAGTCTCAGGCCACTGACCAACACCAAAGTCAAGGCCCCAGACCCCCAGAGAGGCAGGACAAAGTCGTGGGAAGACATCCTGGTGCCACCCTGCCTGGGTGCAAATTCTGGCTCTGCTGCTCACAGGGAGGTTGTACCTCCCCGTGCCTCAGTTTCCCCATCTGTAAAGTGGGAATGATTGTAACAGCAGTCACCTCCAGAGTTGTTGTGATGACTAGGGGAACAGTGGCTGGCATGTCGTGAAGCCTTATGAGTGTTCCCTGTTGCATCACTGTGCCTCCTACTGTTAAGCTGACCCCAGCCCTGGACTGTCCAGGCGGGGACAGCCTCCAGCAGTCATGCAAGGCCCACCTCGGAAAAAACCTCCTCCAAGAAGCCCTCAAGCGCCCAACAGGTCTATGGATCATCTTTGTAAGTTCCACCAGCAACTTGGGTCTCCCTCCCTCAGCACAGGGGTGGGGTTTTGTGGGTTCGTGTCTGCCTCTTCACATGGCAGAGACCACGTGGCCACTGCCCTGTACATGTCCAGTCCATGTTGGCTGGACCCAAGCCATGGCCGATTCATTTGTTCACCATCCATCCTACATTATGGACGACACACAATAGCACAGACCCTGAGATGGCCACTGAGCACTCATTGAGATGTAAGATTCCGGAGAAGGAGAGAGCAACAGAACCCCACTGATTGCAGGGTCCAGCAGACAATGGCGTGGCATACAGGAGGTACAAACACAGAACTGACCCCTGCAGAGGTGGCCTTGTTGTGTGGGTGGGGGAGGGGGCTGGGCTTCATCTCACCCCCCACCCACCAATCATTCATTCAACAAACATTTGTGATGTACTTGCTCTGTGGCCAGCCCTGTTAGGCACCGAGAATCTCGGAATGAATAACAGTCCAGAGCCCCAGGAGAGAGTGGGAATCCCTCCTTTGGTGGGATGCAGGCTTGAGGGCTGAGAACACGGTGAGGCTCTCCCAGGCTCTGGTTAGGAAGAAATTTCCAGAGGCCAAGTGACTGAGGAGGCAGTAACTGCTGGGAGTCAGCACCCTGGCAAGCCGTGCCTCCTCCCTGGGCCTCAGCCTCCCTACCTGTTCAGTGTGGGCAGAGCAGAGGTGGCCGTGCGCCTGCCCGGCCCTCCTCGCATGGGCAGCACGCTCCCCTCCCGCTCGCCATGGAACCCGGGGAAGTCCCTGCACTATCACTCTAATTGCCCTTGACGGGTGGTGACAGGTGGGCAGCCAGAAGGTCAGCACGTTGACAGCCCCAGGGAGGTCTGAGGAGAACAGGAAGTGGACAAGCTGTTGGGGAGGGAGAGGCTCCCGGCACAGAGAGAGCGCGGCTGGGACTGCACCTCGGCTGGAGCAGAGGGCGAGCCAGCCGTGCACCTCTGGGCTGGCTTCACGACTGCCCAGGAAATCCCCCCACCCAACAGACTCTGTCTTGCTGGCCTGCCACAGTCTCTGGAATCCCCCCTATGGATCACCATCAAAGACGGCTGGAGAGGGAATGCGAGACTTGGCTTCTAGACCAGGGCCTAGCAGTCCCACCCTGAGACCTCAGGCAAACCCATCACACTCGAATGCTCTCAGCTCCTCTCCCTGCACAAGGGAGGGAGGGGGCTGTGTAGTGCCTGCGGGCTCCTCTAGCTCCCAGCTTCTGTGGGGAAGGCTTTGGTTTGACTCCAGAGACCCTTATGAACCCGTGCTCTCCCTCCCCCACCCCGCCCTGATTCACTTCATTCATCTGACCCCCACGGCTGAGTGTAGATCCAGCGCAGGGCAGGGGGGAGCAGGCAGGCTCCTGGTGGCACGCAAAGTCTCGAGAATCAGCCTCTTCTGACCTGGGCACTAAGCACGATATGGAAGGAAGCACACGAGGTTGTCACGGCACACAGGAGGCATCTAATCCAACCTGGGCTCAGGGCAGACTTCCTGGAGGAGGCATTGCTAGCTGAAGGAGGGGATGAGAGTTAGCAAGGTGAGGATGGGAGTGGGGTGGCACTGAGAGGAGGCTGTTCCAGGTAGGGGGAAGGGCATGTGCAAAGACTAGGAGGTGAGTGAGGCTCACTTGGGAAGCCAACAGCAGAAGAGACGCGGACGACACAGGCATGAACAGGCCTCCCAGGGCTCCAGCGTTGTTGAGGACAGAAGACTCGGGTTTCTGTCAAGGCTGTGAGTCTCCAGTACATGATCCTGAGCAAGTGGCTTCCCTGCCCCCAACCTCAGTTTTCCTGTGAGTCAAACGGGCACACATCCCTTCAGCTGACTCCTTGGGCAGCTGTAAAGCCCTAATGAGGCAGGAGGGGTGAATGTCCTTTGGAAAAGCCCATCAGGCACTCTGAGTGATGGGCTAAGCTGTCCCTGGCTGGGGCCACAGAGGCAGCCCCACTCTTGCTTGCCTCTGGAGCGTGATGGGGCTGGAAGGGACCAGGCATGGCATCCTCCAGCACAGGCTGCAGGAACTCTGCCAGCAGCTCTTGGAATCCACTCCTGGCAGCAAAGGCAATTCCTTCTCCGCCTCCATGGAGACCCGTTTAAAGATGAGGGCCCCCAGGCCCAGCAGGAGTCTGCCCAGAGGGTTTCAAGAGCCACCAGGGAAAACAGCCCGCCTCAGGCTGCACAGGAGCAGCAGCAAATATTTACTGACTGCCGTGTGGCCGCTCCAAAAGGAGCATTCCTGGAGCCTGCGGAGGGGGCGTTTGGAGGGGCCCAGGCCTTACAGGATGCTGGCTGGATCCTGAGCGCTGCCTGGCAAGTGCAGTGGCCGGTCAGCGCCCGGTCCGTTCCCACAACCTCCGTGGTACCGGGACCTAAACGAAAGACTTGAGATACTTTGGGAAGTTGGAAACAATAAGGAATGACATTTTCAAATTCCCATCCTCTCCTTCTCCAAGCTGCAGCTGCCTTCACCTCCTTCCCTCCAGGGCGGGGAGAACAGTGTCCCTCCTGCCCCTCCCATACACGAGGCTACTCCTTGCACAACTCCAGGGGGCGCCTTTCCCATGTAATCCATGCTCCAGGACTGTAGGGTGACAGCCATTCACTCCCGAGCCCACGTTCCCATCACCCTCCCCCTATCGTCCTCTTTGGGGCTTGGTTTCACAGGACCCCACAGTCGGGCTGGCGGAACCTGCACCTCCCTTGGAGCCCATGGCCCCATCTGTCCTGGTTCATACTCCTCTCACTGCTCCCTGTCTGTCCTCTTGGTGGGTTCCTCTTTCTCCTGCCCAATAAATGTGGGGGCCCCAGGAACCCTGTCCACAGCCTTTTCTTCTCACTCTACTCGCAATCCGTAGACAAATCATCACCCATATGGTTTCAATCACCATACGATGCTGACCACTCTGGAAGTGCTGCCCCAGCCCAGACCCATGTGCCCAACGACCTACTGGACATCTCCGCCTAACACGCTCCACAACCTACACAGCTGACTCGCCCTCCCCTCTGGGGATGTGTCTCAACTGAGCTCCGCTGCCCAAGTCAGATGGGCCCCGACTTGACTACTCCTCCTCCCTCCTCATCCTCGTCCAGTCAGTCACCAGAGTCCCTGGGATTTTACCTCCGACCACGCTGCCCGGGGCACCCAGCCCTCGGCCTGGACCCTGCAGACACCGTCCTCCTGGCCCCCTCCAGCCCTCTCTCCTCCCTGCGGCTGGAAGGACCCTCCCACACTCCAGAGCTGCCTCTGTCAGGACGTGTTCCCAACAAGCCACTTGAGGGGAGATCGTGAGCTTTTCGAGGGCAGGGGCCATATCTGATTCATCTTTGTCCCCAGGGCTAAGGCCAAGTCTGGCACACGGTGGTGGCTTCGTAAATGTTTGTTGAATGAATGAATGACAAAACCTGTTACTCCATATCCTTTCCATGATCTCATCCCATCCCCAGGAGCCTTGAGCTCACGGATGGCCTCCTTTTGTAGCCTCGGCCTGGCCCCTTGGTGATGCTCCTCCAGATTCCACCAATCCCAGGGGCTTGGCCCCTGGACCAGCCTCTGAGCCAGGGCCCAGTGCATGCCATCCCCGGGGGCTGGCAGACAGGGCCAAGGCTTGTCTCCAAGGTCAGAAATCTTGAAAAAGGCGCCACATCCATCCTGGAACCTTCGGGGAAGGTGTGGAAAGTTTCCAGTGGGGCCCCACAGTGTTGGGGCTCAGCCTGCGTGGCTTGCCCAGGCTCCCGGGGTCTCCTGGCCACCGCCCAACAGCTCCTTCCAGCACTGACAGCTGTTCTCTGGCCAGCTCTCTGCAGGAAGGCACGTTCCATTTCATCTGCTGAGGCCGCGTGGACGAGGAGAGGAGGAAAGAGAGGAGGACAGTGGGGGGTGGGGGACACAGAGGCACAGAGACAAAGAGTAGGGGAGAAGAGACACACAGAGAGAGAAGAGAGACATGCACAGAGAGACACAGGCAGAGGAGGAGAGCTCCAGGACACAAGGAAACAGATAGGAGAAAGACAGAGGAGAGGAGGAGAGAGGGCCCGGAGACAGGCAATAAGAGAGACACACAGAGACACAGCGACAATGGGAGGGAGAGAAGGAAAAGGAGAGACACTGAGACAGAGAGAAAAAGATGGAAAGAGACAGAGACAGAGCAGAGAGTTACAAAGAGACAGAGATAGAGAGGAAAGGAGAGAAAGGGAGAAAGAGGAGAGAGGAGAAAGAGAACCCAGAAATGACCACAAGGGGCATGGTGGAAGAGAACGGAATCCACTGAGGACATCAGGGAAGGCTTCCTGGAGGAGGGGCCCATGTTGCCAGGACTCCCAGGATGGGCGGGATTCAGAGAGGGATGCAGGGGAGGACAGACAAGGAACGAGGAGCCAGGAGGAGGATTATAGGTCTTGAAAATGGTGGGGCTGGTTTGGTGATTGTCTGCCCTGACCCTGCAAGCCAGAGAGCCACTTAGGGGACATTTGTATGGAAAGGCACCCTGCTCTGAGTGCT